GCAGAGTTACCAACATAATTTGATACTGCTTTCTCAGGGATATGAATTTTGACTTCCTGCACTGCCTTATAGCCTTGGGAATCCCTGGTGATCTCCTATCCAAATACTAACCAGGGAGTAACCAAGCTAACCCTTGTTAGCTTCTGAGCCCAATCAATGTCTTGCCCCATCTGTATCATGTCTTGATACTTACTTCTACAGATCTGCAATGAAACCAATAGCAAACATATATTCTCTGGAGAAAAAAGAGAGCTTGCATTACAACAATTTACAGGATTTGGATAGCAGATAAGAGCCATTTCAACAAATCCTCAAAATTGTAGTGTGTAAAATAGTATACCTCTACAGATATAGAGGTATTTGTCCAATAAGATAAAGTTTATTTGGCAGCATTGGGCACAGAAATGAAATTAACTGTACAGATGAAGGGAGAAGTGATTGGGGCTAGGGGTATTTTTGTTCATCCAAAGCCTTTTATGATGTATGCAGGACAGAGAAAACTCTGTCACTGATCTCAAAGTGGCCATCTTTGAACAAAGAAATTAGAAATCCTGGTTTCATCCTAAAACAGTTTAAATTGGAATTGATTAGGAGATCTAATACTATGGATCAAATAGAGACCAACACCAAACACTGACACATTCTTACCTGTTTTGTGAACAATGATGCTAATGTATATTCTTTTCCTATTGCTCATATTTATTTAAAAAAATGTTTTTTCTTCTACTTGCAATAGCTAATTGATGCCACTGGGATATATGTATTTTCCCCATGATTTCTTCCTTTTGCTTATTGTTGGTATCTGGAGAAAGGCTACAATGAGCTATAAACCCAGTAAAAGGAAGATAGATGAATTACCAGGTGGAATGATGGCAAAGCTGAGGGTTTTGTGTGGTGTCATTTGCAACAAAAGTGGAGTTTACTAACTCGAGTTCTGTCTTTATTGATCACTCCAACTTTATAGACATGGAATAAAACCTTTTACAAGAAATGATTCTCCAATTATTTCACACCCGACGTTTTCAAAGTGCACTTCTAGCAGATCTCCCCAAAATAAAGAGAGCATTTGAAAAGAAAAGTTGCACATTTTCAATTCAGCAGGCTTTCCAACTTTGCATCTTTGTTTAGCTTTTAATCTATATTCCACATTGTCCATTCTCTATCTTATAAGAATTATTAGCATCTTAAAAGCAGAGATGAAGTTTTTATGGTTCACAAAGTATAAACAGAAGTAGTGGTTAAATATATGGTAAGTTAAGTGCATATGTTAGTCTGCAGGTTCAAACCCCACTATCAGATCTTTCATACACAATGCTTTTTCAGCAGAGGTAGTTCAATGACTGATAATAAATGTGTGCGAGTAATCCTATGGGTGCCAATTCAGTAATGGAACTTACTCTCAACTCTCAATACAATTGACTCCCACTCAGGACCAAGCCTTTCCAATATACTTGAAATGTTCACCCAATGAAATTAAAAACTAAATTGAGGATGTGCTTTCTTCACCTCTATTTTAAAAAGAAGTAAAACAAATATTTGCTAAGAGAGCTGAATTTTCCTTTCATCCAGTTCATCTGTTGGCAAATGCTTTGGACAACATTTAACACAAGAGGCATTATTACTGCTCTCAAAATTGTGCAAATCCTTCTAAAGAATTTCTATGCAAAGCTCCAGAGTGCATATGAAGCACTTATCTTCCAATCAATATAGCAGCCACATCTTTTTCCAGCTGCTTTTGTGAGCTGCTCCCAGCTGCCTCTGCAGATGTGTGTATGGGTAGCCACTGTGCTTCACACACACAAAAGAGGGGGAATAATCAGGGAAACACCTCTCTAAGCTTGCTTTTGTTTCTCAAAGTCTGCTTTCAGAGAAATGGTCAAAGCAACTTTAGAGAAAGAGAGCGCAGTTCCTGTAGTGCTGAATCAGATGACTCTGACTCTAAAATGGAGGTAATGAATAGACTGAAGATGTTCCAACATAATCTCAGGGTGGAAGAGCTAAACTCTGAAATAAATTGGTGGTCATCTGTCAGCCCTATACGGTAGATCAGAGTAAGAAACAGACACCATGCAGACCTAATGCTACTTTGATTAGAACAGCTTGCAAGTCTGATGTGTTTCCTTTCTTCCCTCTTTTATCTTCATGAGAATTGGGGGTGGGGGAGCTATCTGAGGCAGTTTTGCAAACCACTGGCCTGGGTTCAGGTTTCATTTATCTGATCATTGCCTTGGTAGCAGATCTTCCCTCTGTCCTTCAAGGCCATCCTCTTTATTCACTATATCATCAACATATGTCCACTGTTCTTGGTTACCTAACATGTGTTAGCATATCGTCAGTTTTCAGAACATTTTTGATCTTTTGTAGGTTTTTTTACAATTTAAATAATATAAAACAGTATGCAAAATGCATAAATAACTCCTGCACTATTTGCTTGCCTTGTAACTTGAGAAAAAATTCCAAGATATGTAAACCTCTTTGTGCAAAGACGTTTAAATGAATATGTATAGACTGAAGAATGGCTCTGCTACCACACCACTGCTTCCCTGTGCACCCAGCTTAGGAGATTGTTTTTCGTTATGAAACCTCTATAATTTCATTTACTGCCTTTCCCTCTATTTACTACTTTATCTCTGCTGATCCAATTTCCCTTTGTAAGAATTAAGCAATATTTTAAATAGGAGCAGATCCGGTAAAGAAGGTATGGTCACACTTGCTTTCTGTTTCCATTTGATCAACTACTATTAAAGCCCAAGAACATTTGTAACAGTTAAACAAGATGTGGAGACAACCACAAGGCTTAACTCTTATGGGCAAAATGATAATTTTTAAAACAACTATTTGCAATATATTGATTTATAGGGTTATCACTCTTCAATCCTTGTCTTCCTTCAGTTAGATCAGGTTGGTGTACATAGAAGTTAATAAAATTTGATTTAGGATTTGGTTGTTGTTGTTGTTTTCCCCATCCATTCAGCATTATTGTCACTATTCAATACAGGCTTCAATGCAGAAAAAAACTTGAAGTGCAAATGCAATTTTAAAAAATGGATAAATAAGCTTTTGTAGGTAACTGAATCTTGAACTTAAATAATTTTATATGCAGTGGAGACACTAAGCATCATGATAACATCTTGTTTGTGCTTGGAATACTCATTTTCAATTGAAAAATACAGGCACCATAAAGGAAGATACGAAAATCTACAAGGAAAGAGTGACTGGAAACAGGACATTGAGAGAGCAGGAGGGAGGGAGGGAGGGAGGGAGGGAGGGAGGAAGGAAGGAAGGAAGGAAGGAAGGAAGGAAGGAAGGAAGGAAGGAA